AGAAGAGGCGCGGTGAGGTAGGCCTTGAGGTCGCTGAGGGCGAGTTCGCACTTGTCACTCCACTGGAAGTCCTTCGGATCTTTCAAGGCCTCAAAAAAAACATGAGACTTGTCGGACAGCTTAGAGATGAACCTGCTTAATGTGGTCATCCTGCCTGTCAGACTTTGGACTTCTTTTACGTTTCACGGGGAGGGAATCGCTTGGATGGCTTGCACTTGCTTTGGATTGGCCTCGATGCCCCTGTAGGTAACTATATATACCATGAGGTTGCGTCGACAGGCTTGTCAATATGAGGTATGGGAAACGGATCTTTGGGGCATGATTTGTTGAGGTCAGTGAAATCTATGCAGACCCTCTATCTCCCATTCTTTTTCTTGACCACGACGATGTTGGCCAACCATTTCGGGTAATGAAATTCCCTTATGAACCCAGCGTCGAGCAGGTTCTTGACTTCTTTATTGATGATTTTGTCCCTTTCTGGAGCGAATTTCCTCCTTTTCTGTCGGACAAGGGTGAACTAAGGGTCTACCTGCAGCTTGTGCATGATAATCTCAAGGTCGATCCCGAGCATGTCCTCGTGTGACCAGGCGAAACAGTCGGAATAGGAGCGAAGGAAGTCGATTAGTCTGTGTCTTAACCATGTGGGACGCTTAGACCCTATTAGTAGTTTCCGGGCCGGATTCCCTTCCTCTAAGGGTACTTCGTCGATCTTTTCCACCTCAAGTTCCTCCATGTGCGGGGCCGGAGGGACCTTCGGTAATTCCTATAAGGCCGGGACCTTCCCTTTCAATGTGGTTTGATAGCAGGCCCTAGCGTTCTCCTGATCTCCTTTGATTGCCCTGATGCCCCAGGGGGTCGGGAACTTGATAGATTAATGGAGAGTCTATGGTACCGCCCCCATGTCGCGGATCCAAGGCCTGCCCAATATAACGTTGTAGGAGGATGCGCAGTTGATGACGAGGAAATTCGATGGTAGGTTTACTCCTTTGGCGTATAATGGGAGGATTACCTCTCCTAGGGTATTTTTTACCTATCCACTGAAGGCTATGAGCGGAGTGACCTTCCTAGTTAAGGCCTTTCCTCCAGCCCTAGATCGCTGTAGGTGGGGAGGGAGATAATGTTTCCGGAGCTACCATTGTCTATCAGGATTCGTCTCACCAAGCAGTTTGCTACGGTGCGGGAGATGACCAAGGCGTCGTGATGGGAACCAGGACTGTAGTGACCCTGTTCTAGGGGTAGAAAGTCAACCAAAGTCAACGAACGAGGATCAAGACAACCAAGTTTTGTTAAGCTACAAGAAGACGTGAATAGTGGTTTTGTCAAGTATTTTGAAGAGTGGTCGAGTGGAAACGAGAGTTGGTCGAGGAGATAGAGCTGAAGCTTTGAAACAGACAAGGTCAAGCAATGGTAGAATTTTGAAGTGTGCAAATCAAGTGAGACTTGATTCCAATCATCTTTAGAGGATAAAAGAAGACATGTGGTCAAGATAGAATGGAGTTGGAGCATCGCGTGAAGACCAAAGAAGACTATTTTGATTCCAGGAGGTTGGAGATCAATCTAGTATCAACCTAGAATCCATATTGAGGTGTTTGAAGAAAATCAAGAGAGTTTGGTCAAGGTACAAATAGGAGAGTACCAAGATGGACCAGAGGAAGGGAGTTTTGGTCGTTATGGTCAAAATGAGCTATCCAAGAGCTATGCAAGCCAAATCAATATGTGCAAACATGGTCAAGGAGTTCAAAGGTGTGTCAATCTTTTTTTCATCTAAGGTGAATATGTTAATAATAACAAGGTTATATACAGACGTGTTTTACAGAAATACAGGCATATAACAACAACTAGTTTGGGGAAGGCACAGCCACTGGAAGCTCGGCAACACCCCAAGCTTCCCAATACTTTGCGGTTTCTTTCATACTCACGAAAACCGCAGAAAGACTGGTTTGGGGAAGGCACAGCCACCGGAAGTTTCGAGGTCACTTGGATCAAAGATTCATGCGTGAACACGTTCAGAAGCTTTCCATTCAGAAGACATGTTGAGAAATCAAAGAGGAAAACATTCAAAGGGAAAAGAAGAGAGAAAACTTCTTGAACCTTAACAAGTTCAAACAGCTCGCAAGAACTCAACGATTCTTACGAGCTGGGGGGCTAAATGTTGGGGTCAAAATCGGTACGACATAATCAATGACCAAAACTTTCCGCAAAAACAAAATACGTTTAATAAAACTCGAGAAGTTGTTTTATAAAACTCTACCACTATTCTGAGAGGTCGCGTAAGTTGTTTCCCCTAGTGAGCTTGTTTTGTTGCTCTTCCCGTGGCGAAGAGTCGCGATTAGGTTTTCGATTTTGTTTAGTGCTACAGCGTTTGCGTGTGCATTGGCTGTACGAGTAGTCGCTGCTGGTGTTGTTTTACCAGCGTTTTTGCGAGATGCGACTTTTTCTTTCATACATCCAGACATCGTTTTGGTCAAGCGTTTTGCGGCTATGAGTAAGAGTAATCCGACCCCCCCTCCTTCTAGCGCCAAACTGTAGGAACCGAAATTCACACTTCTCGATTTCCGTTAAATAAGGAAACTTAGGAAAACCCTAATTTTCCAGAGGAACCCGATCTCTGCGAGAGCCAACGACAAGTAACCAAATAAATGCGGAAAAATATGAAAAACGTAATAAAACGAATTTAAAGAAAAAGTAGATCTTATTTCGATTTCGCGTAAGGGCGTTGCGATCATTAATAGGGTTTACAAAGGCTATGACTGCAGGGCCGTCAGCGAGTTATTAACATAAAAACCTTAAACCTAATCGAGTCGCAGCTCGATAACAAAAGACGAAAAAAGATAAGAAAAAGGATTTGATTGATTTCGGACTGAACCTTATGAAAGGCTGCCTACGTAACCCTTTCGCGGATCAAATCTAACGTAGTTCAGTTGGTAGAGCTGGACCAGAGATCGAACTGCCTTGGCGAGTTCGTGTAGAAATTGAGCTCCAGTCATAGAAACTGAACTTGTCGAGAAAAAGCCTAAGTTTCTAAGTGCGGAAAATTCTAAGTCTAGAAAAGTTGTGAGTCTCAGATGAGAGCTCTGGATTTCGTCCCCTTGCTTCTGCCCTATGCCTCTTGCTTATATACCTCCTTCCTAGGCGGTTTAGTCTTTCCATTTCGCCCAGATTCGAGTTTATCGGGAATCTTCCATTTATCTCGATCTTTCCTTTTTTCCCGCGGAAATTTTCTATTTATCCTCAAACATGACATTTATCTTCAAGTTTGACATTTATCTTCTTTCTGCAAGTAAATCTCGAAAACGTGGTCGTATCTTCGGGTTAGACTTCGTTTAAAGTCGCGAATGGCTTTTACCGCGTTTTAGGACTTTCCGAGCCATTTTGCGATAAATCCGTTTTACGACTTTAGACGAGATTGTTTCCTGATACGATGCCGTTTTTAGATAAGTTTCTCAAGTCAATCGTAAAGCTAGGCAGTGTTCGATTTTTTGATTAATCGTTGCCGTTTTCTACGATTTACTCGGAGTTTTATTAAAAACGCGTTTTGTACGACTTTTACTAAAATCTCGAATAAATCGTATAGTTTAGGCAATATTCGGTGTTTCGTTTAACCGTTGCCGTTTTAAATGATTTCCTCGAGTTCTTTTCGAGAAAACTAAGTTTTACGGTTTTTATCGTAAAACTCGAACGATAAGACAGATCGAGACGAAACGAGGGAAATTTCTACCGTGATTCGGAATATGATCGTGTCGAAGGACGTTTTCCTTGAATCAAGGATGTGAGAGATCGAGGCTCAGGAAGGTCGGCTCGACGTACGGCGAGCTAGTTCAGCTTGGCTTGGTCGCCGTATGGCGAACTAGGCAATAAGAACCTATGGGGCAAAGTCAGCGCCTCTTAGTTCGCCGTTGGGCGAACTAGTCGGGCGAGGCTAGTTCGCCCAACGGCGAACTAGGCCGGGCTTGGCTTAGTTCGCCGTTGGGCGAACTAGCCAGGACGGGGCTAATTCGCCCAACGACGAACAAAGCCGGTCATGGCTTAGTTTGCCGTTGGGCGAACTAGCCGGGACGGGGATAGTTCACCCAAGGGCGAACTAAGCCGGTCATGGCTTAGTTCGTCGTTGGGCGAACTAGCCGGGACGAGGCTAGTTCGCCCACCGGCGAACTAAGCCGGCTTGGCTTAGTTTGCCGTTGGGCGAACTAGCCGGGACGAAGCTAGTTTGCGTTTTTACGGCGGTTTCGGTTTTTCGTGGTTTTGTAAAATGATTCATCGAGTTTTATAAAACGATTCTTCGAGGTTTATAAAACGATTCTCGAGTTTTATAAAACGATTCTTCGAGTTTTATAAAATGATTCTTCGAGTTTTATAAAACGATTCTCGAGTTTTATAAAACGATTCTTCGAGTTTTATAAAACGATTCTTCGAGTTTTATAAAAAGAATCTCGAGTTTTATGAAACGATTATTCGAGTTTTATAAAACGATCCTCGAGTTTTATAAAATGATTCTTCTAATTTTATAAAACGATGTTTCGAGTTTTATAAAACGATTCTCGAGTTGTATAAAACGAGTCTTTGAGTTTTATAAAATGATTCTTCGAGTTTTATAAAACGATTCTCGAGTTTTATAAAACGATTCTCGAGTTTTATAAAACGATTCTTCGAGTTTTATAAAACGATTCTTCGAGTTTTATAAAACAATTTCTTTTATATTTTTGCGGAGACTTTTTGCCATTGATTCCGTTGTGACCGATTTTGACACCAACATGCCNTCTTTGAGTTTTATAAAATGATTCTTCGAGTTTTATAAAACGATTCTCGAGTTTTATAAAACGATTCTCGAGTTTTATAAAACGATTCTTCGAGTTTTATAAAACGATTCTTCGAGTTTTATAAAACAATTTCTTTTATATTTTTGCGGAGACTTTTTGCCATTGATTCCGTTGTGACCGATTTTGACACCAACATGCCACCATCCTTTTTCTTATACCATTAACCCGTACTGGCAATGGACAATGCACCGTCTTCAAAGAATGAGGCTGTTGGAAGTAGACACCATCTTGGCTAAACAACTGCTGCATACCACAATTTATCACATATGGAAAGAGAGGAGTGCACGACGTCATCAGCAGAGTAGAGTAACCACTGATCATATGTGTCGGCTCATTGGCAAGGAAGTGAGAAATAGAATTACTTCTCTGAAGTACAAGCATGATCAAAAATATGGAGGATTACTAAGAAGATGGTTCCAGCTTACCTCCTAATGAGGGGACTCGTATGCTTTTTGCTTGAACAATTTAGAGTAGCTCATATTTGTAAATAACATTGTTTCATACATCAATAAATTTGAAATTTTATAAAAAAAATAAATAAATAATGAGTTACTGATGTAAGATCATAAATCAAGTGTATTTAGTTGTGATTCATTCTCTTGAAGAGAATTGGACATTTTAGGAAAGAAAATCCACACAAATAATATTGGAAAACAATGTGAAAATAAAAGTTGTTGTAGACATGAATGTTGATATATATATATATATATATATATATATATTGTTATGGTCAAGGTCAAGACCAAAGAGTTTTTTATCGAATTCATATTCTTACTTGAAGTTGAGAAAATAAAAATTGTAATACATAAAATATATTTTTCAATCATCTAAGATGAAAGAGTTTCTTCTTAGAACTTATATTCTCACTTGAAATTAAGAAAATAAAGATGGTAATAAAGAAAATATATATTCAAGAAAAGAATATATATGAATACTCTAGAAGAGTAGATTAGAGTACATAAACAATCCTTGATGTATTATATTCTCATAAGTTAATAATTAAGAAGGATTTAAGAATAATACATGATCCAACTAGGGTATGTTGAGATTAGATTCGAGATTGATAAGCATGTAGTGTTATCATCTCGAGGGGTGGGGGAGTTAATGAATCTCATATTTTATTATGTATACACTAAAACTGATATTGATGAATCCTTCTTAAGGTAAAGCCATGAGATTTTGAAACTGTTTATGCTGAGACAATAAGAGAAAGAAATGTTAAATTCATTTCAAATCATAAGAATTTCTCAAGTTAGTAAAATTATTTTTGAGAAAGTACCTACATCCTCTTATAGATTGTACTACACAAATATTAGTGTGATGGAGATAAATATGTAGTAGACCAGAAGTTTACAAAATACTTGGCATGAACCAGTTAGACCATTATGGTCTAGTAATGGTGCGAAAGATACTTAAAGATTTATGTGAATAGTGATTGAAGAACTAAAATATTTTTTCAAGTGATCTGAAATATGTTGTTTTCTCATAAGATTAAAAAAATAATATTGTTTTCACCAACCAAAAAAAGTTATTTACATGAATAAAGGAGATGTTGGTGGATTGATCACCCACTATGCATCTTTATAATATTGGTGAGTTCACTTCTTAAAGCATTTGGCACTATAAAAAATTCACTAGGATAAGTGTTAAACATTTTGAGCAACACTAATTCTCTTCAAGCCAACAACTAATCAATAGTTCTCCCGGTCATTGTTATTGGGTCAGAAACCAACAAATTTCCATTGAAGACTATTTCTCCACTACTGAGCTTTAATTAAGATGAGTTTTGAAGTGAGGTTAAATATATATGATGAATATGAATCTCCACTGCTACTTCAGAATCTAGATCCAGCTATGAAGGGTATAAGTTAGGCTCGATATGAATGATAAAAGTGAATTAGAATTTCCAACAGAAGAGGGAGAAAATAAACATATAGAAAATAAAGTAAGTTGAAATGAATTATCATTGATCCTTGGACTAACTACAAAGTGAAATAGAAGTCCAAAAGATAATTTGGTGACAGAGCTTAGTAAAGCAGTTTTCTAGACACATTTACTGGCCCATATAAATAAAGTGATCAAGTCACATATACCAGCTGTAAATGCTCCAATAAGAACTAATGTCCCATAAGGACAATATCAAACTGCTAGAAAGTATGAGTCACACTTGGAGTGTTAATATATATATTGGTTTGAAAGATAAGAATCCTCGTAAATGGAAAGGAGCTTACATTAATGGTCAAGAGGAAATATAGCTTATGAATAATATCCATAAGAGATGTTAAACATGATGGAAAGAAATCAGGTACCTGAGACAATAGCGAGATCTCAATAAGTTAAGCCCTGTGTGAAAGAAAATGGAACCATAAGAAAATTGACTTCAATGAAATGTATCCATGCAAAGTAGCAGTTGATATGATTGAGAACAGAATCATGAAACAAAGTCTATTGAAAATTGTATAGAAAGCAATGATTGTATACAAAGAATCATGAAACAATATAGCGCTTCTTGCAAAACAATTGTGGAGATTGATTCATTACCTGAACTCCTTACTAGCACGTGATCTTAAGGGAAAGTACTAAAACCACACCTCTCCCTTGGAAGATCGACGAACATACTCACCATCATATGGATGGCGTAGTATCATGGCAGAAAAACCTCTACTCATTTCTGGTTTACGGAAAACAATTCGTACAGGTCGAGATGCGAGGGTTTGGAGTGAGTCTTGGGTTCCTGACTCAGTGGCTCGACCACCTAGACCTGCCGATCACATTGTTTACAGACTATCCTAACTTCGTGCTAAGTCCTTTATTAAGAATGATATCAAGGAGTTAGATATATAGTTTTGCGGGAATTTATCAAGGAGTGGAATATACAGCTTTTACGGGAATTTTTACACTCAGAAGATATCCCTTTGATACTTGGAATAAAACTTTCTCGCTCTCTTACTCCAGATGGATATGTTTGGAACCAGACAAAACCAGGATTGTACTCAGTTAAAATCGTTTATGACCTACTCCAATCGACCAAGAAGATTCTCACAAAAGAAGAGGTTCTAGAACCAAGTATCACGAGCCTTAAAAGCCACGTGTGGAAGATAAAGGCCCCAAGTAAGATGAAGCATTTCGTGTGGCAGGCTATCTTGGGTTGTGTGGCGACAACAGGGAGGCTCACTTATAGACACTTGTGCACCAATAGGAGTCGTCCTATAAATGCTGACCCAGTGGACTTGATTAATCATCTTCTTTTTGAATCCCCCAGCCCTGCAGGTTCGGGCTTTATCGGACTATTTGTCCCTTATGGGTGACTTCCCTAGTACATCTATATACCAAAACATGAACTTTTTGTTTTGGGAGAGAACATAGGTGGCTCCAATGAGACCACAATTCGATAAATTCCCACGGATCTGTTGGTACATTTGGAAGGCGAGGAACACCAAATTCTTTAATGGGAAAGTCGTATTCCCGATTGACACTCTCCAACATGCGTCTCTTGAGGCAGAATGTTGGAGGAAAAATAATGAAAATGAGGAACCAAACGAGAATCATGACAACCCTCATTTCACAGAGGTCGAGACAGTGCCCCCTTGGATACCACTAATCACTACCTGCCAAATTGATGTGTCATGGATCGATAATGGCAATGCTAGTGGCTTAGGGTGGATTCTTAAGGATCAAATGGGTTCTGAAGTATTCAGAATACGGGCGTGCAGAAGGAGCTTCTCAGCTTTACATGTAGAGATTGAAGGTTTACTTTGGGAAGCTTCATGTATGAGAGACATGAGGATAACTTCGATACAGTTTGAGACGGACTGCTCGGACCTAGTGGACATGACTACAAACCCGGAGGATTGGCCGACTTTCAAGACAGAGATCGAAATGTTCCAAAGACTACAAGAGGATTTTGTGGATGTGAGCCTGAATCATATTCCCCGGAGTAAGAATGGTCGAGCGGACGCAATAGCAAAAGAAGCAAAGACCAGACACTATACCTTTTCCCATATAGATCAGACCGGGTCAAACGGAGGTGCTCCTCGGAGAATCGGCTCGTCTGATCACCACTTGATTTAATATAGATGAGCGGCTAACAAAAAGAAAATGATTGGACAAATTGGAAAGAAGTAATAGATAAAGTTAGAAACTCGTATGAAAGAGAAAAATATTTGGACCAGTAGTCCATATACTAAAATGTGTAAACCAAGTGGGATATAAATGAGTCGTTTCACCAGAAAATGATCAATATGAAATAGATTACGAGAAGACATAGTCTCATGTGGTAGATGCAACTACTTTCAAGTTCTTATCATTTTGGCAATAAAAGAAAAACTTGAACTATACGACCCGCGGAAAATAATAGTCTGTGAAAAATAAAAACCTTGAAGGATTGATGATATCAAGTTCATGGTCCTGGGAATTGCAGCTATTTGATCCAAATATGCATACAGTGTGCCCCGAACGGCATACTATCTGTAGCCCCCTTCAATAGCTCATAAACAGCCAGTTGGATTTTATGGAAACGGATATGGTGAAACCCCCTTTTATTGGCTAAAGGTGTGAAATAATATGAATACAATACCTCATGTACATTGAGAGGTATGTTATGAAATCATCCCAACACCTGAATGGCGATCAATGTTCCCAAAGCCAATGATGTAAGATTTGAGGGAGAATACCAAAATAGAAAAAAAAAATTGGCTATCAGCGCACTCATTTTTCTCTAGAACCCCACCTCCAAAAAATCTTCAAAAACAGTGATTTCATCTGTCCGTCGGACGCGTGCTCTGACATGGTGGGACTCTGTAAGTTCCTTGATGGATGCAAAAGTATTTCTTCGTGTCTCAAGAATCCAACTCTTCTTTATCTTGGAACGGGGACCAATCCCCACACAAACAAGAGGATGATAAAGCCTTAAGGGGGATACTGGGATTGCTACCTGCTCTCTTCCACAATCATGTTCCTTTGAAATGAAGCATCTCCTTCAAGATTCCCATACATTCCAAGGTAGGGTAATCCTGGTAATCTCATAGAAGTGATGTGATATCACTCAAATTACCCTAATTAGTGAATTACTCTCTCAAATAAGAGGTTTAGTTGTAGTACTTAGAGATCGAATCCACAAGGACTCTAGGATTACTCAAACGATTTAATTTTAAAATATAGCTAGACTAAAGATGGATTTACGGTTTAAAACAAAAATTAAAATAAAGTAAGCAGATGATTATTCAGTAACTTGGATTAGAAGTATATTTCAGTTAGGAAAGTAGCTAGACTTAGGTATTATCACAGGTATCAGTTTGCAATTGGTTTCTGATTTTAAGGTTTTAAATTGTTCATTAATTCAAACACAAATGATGAAACCAAACATGTTTCCTTGTCTAGATCTCGGATCTCAACTTGTATTTTTGATCGCGATAAAGAGTAAACCGATTATA